CAAATTCATTCCCAAATTGAGTTTGGGCAGGTGTTTCACCTTCGGTACCGAACTAGTTTTCTACAAAAGCTCGTGGATCCATTTGTGAATTGTAGAAATTGAATATTTTCTCTTGGGTTGGCAGCTGAGAGTTCTAACTGCTTAATTTTCTAATATAATTAAGAAATAGTAATTAATGCTGGTTGAAGTGCTGAAAGCCTTCACCTCTTGTATATATTATTGTTCCTGAAAATAGATGAAGATGCATGAAGGGTAAATAGAATATTGGGTTCTTATGCTCATTTAGCTTCAAAAGACATTGGATGTAACGACCTCTTCGAATTCCATCCACTGTCAAAGGCATCCCAAGACACAACTGGTTTGATTCTCAACATTAATATACTCTAGTGTCAGTTGTAGTATATCTCTTCACACCTCGGGCTTATGGGAAAAGGCTCACAAGTAACCTCTAGCATGGCTACACAACTTGGGGTTAGGTGTGTCACTTTTCACGAGTTATACAGTAGTTATTGATTAGGTGGCTTATATTTTTGTATATGGGGTCTATTTGATGAAGAGGAGGGGACAGCCAATTGCTCATGATTATATTTTCAGTGTGTATAACCCACCACCCCAACACAAAAAGAGAAGAAACTGTTGAATCAACAGTGTGCTGTAGCATTATAAGGCGTAGCAGCTCATTTTAATTCCATGTACTATGTGAGCCTAGTGCGCAGAGAAGATTGATGTTTTTGTCCTCCATGATATTAAGACGTGGAGTTCCACCTTACAAGGTCAATCTTATTAAGAAGAATAGTTCAAACCCTTTTATATTGATCTATATTCGGTAGAATCGGTGTTGGATTTATCCCTCAACATGTCTCTTAAAATTGTTTATTTGGGTAAACCAATCTTGAAATTCGTGTGTTCGTTTTTTATTCTTAATCGAATCGAATTACTCGTTAGAGTTTAATAGGCTCTAATACCATATTAAGACTCGAAGTTCCATCTTAAAATGTCAACATTATTAAGAATAGTGGTCTAAACCCTTATATATTGTTCTATATTTCGGTATTTGATCTATTTTGGATTTATCCCTTTAATACATGATTGTTGAAGTGTCATTGGTATTTCTATCTCATATTCACGATGTGCACGTGGAATATGAGGTTAGATTTCTTGCAGCCCGAAGCTTTCTTTCTCACAAATGTAGTTTTGAAGGTACTGATGCGCCTGTGTCGTCTCACCGACTCCCCTAAAAAAGTTGAAGTAAGCTAGTTGTGTTGCCCATTGCAAGATTAAGCTAGTAGCTAAAGAAAGAATTCTCTACAAATGAAAGGTCTCCACCAAAACTCGAATAATTTATAAGCTCTGAATATATTTGGATTGTGAAAACGAAAACAATATATTTCGAGGGGTTGTAACAATGCAGAGGGGCTACGGGGTATGGACAAACTAGCAACAAAATTAAAGGCCACAAAAATGGCTTTAAAAATGTGGAATAAGCAGTTGTTTGGGCAAGTGGAGTCTATCTCTGCTGAGTTGGAAGAGCGAGTTGAAAGTTTGGAGAATGTTCTTCAAAGTGGTTATATAGAGGAGGTGGAAAGAGAGTTTTTGAGATCTAAAATAGAGCTCACAGAGTGGCAAAGAAGGGAGGAGATAAGGCTCTCTCAACAAGCTAAGAAAAAATGGCTGAGTGATGGGGATAACAATACTAAGTTCTTTCATGCTGTTATTGCACAGAAAAGACGAAGTATGAGGATATCTTCTATGACCTTGGGTGATGGGTCGGTGTTAAGTACCCCAAAAGAGATTCACATGGCGGCTGTGGATTATTTTCATAAGTTTCTTTCCGAGGAGCGTGATTTCCAATTGCCAAATTTGTCAGGTTGTATCGATGAGTGCATCTCTGGGGAGGAGGGGCTTGAGCTTTGTTAGTTACCAACTAAGGAGGATGTGTCGGATGCTATACTTTCAATGCCTGTTGACAGTTCTCCTGGTCCGGATGGGTTTAGCTCAGCCTTCTACAGAAATTGCTGGAAAATTATTGAAGAAGATGTTGTGGAGGCTGCTGTTGAGTTCTTTGAAGGGAAAACTATGGCAAGGTTTTATTCATCATTATATATTGTTCTCATCCCCAAGATGGAGAATCCTACGAGTTTTGACAAGTTTAGGCCTATCAGTCTTTGCTCGGTGGCTTACAAAATTTTTGCAAAGATAATGGTGAACAAAATGAAGGTGTTACTTCATAAAATCATATCATTGGAACAAGGGGCCTTTTTACCAGGACGTAGCATTTTTTAGAACATCACTCTCACACAGGAGATGGTACAATCCTTGAATGGCAAGGTTCGAGGTGGAAATGTGCTGATTAAGGTGGATATGGCTAAGGCCTATGACAGAGTGGATTTGCGCTTTCTAATTCATGTCTTGAGATCATTTGGATTCCCGGTTGAGTTTTGCTCTTTGATTTCAAATTGCATTACTACCCCCTGGTTTTCTATTATGATGAATGGCACGACTTAGGGTTTCTTTAAATCCTCAAGGGGTCTGAGATAAGGTGATCCCCTATCGCCTTATCTTTTCATTATTATGGAAGAGGTGTTGACTCGACTGTTACGAAAGAAGTTTGAGACAGGTCGAATTGGAACCTTCTTACATCCCCGAGGGGCACCACTTGTCTCACATTTGCTGTATGCTGATGATTTTGTAGTTTTTGCTAATGACAGTAAAAAATCCATGAAAGAGCTTATGAAAACATTTGCTTGTTATGAAAGGTGGTACGGACAGTTGATAAACAAAGATAAGTCAGCTATTTTTCTATCTAAGAATTGCACAGTGGTACAAAAAGGTGAGATTCCTAGAGTTACTTCCTTCCAAGAGGGATCTTTTCCTTTTACGTATTTGGGGGTTTTGGTGGTGTTGGGAAGGTTAACGGCTCGTCATCTTCAAGGACTAGTGGACAAAATTAAGAGTAAAATTGCGGGCTGGAAATTGGAGTTACTATCACAAGGAGGTCGCCTCATTCTAATGAGACATGTGTTGTCTAGTATGGCAACACACTTACTATCTGTAGTGCACGTGCCTATGTTAGTCTTTAGATCCTTGAATTCAATTATATCCTCTTTCTTTGGGGTGAGGTGAATGGAAGGCCAAAGAAAAAATGGGTTGCTTAGGAGAAGATGTGTAAACCGGAGATGGAGGGGGGTCTTGCTTTTCGTAGGTTTGAGGAGATACAAGTTTGCATGGAAGCTATTGTCGGATGATTCTCTATGGGCAAGTTTCTTTAGAGCTAAGTACATAAAAAATGGCTTGGTGGATGTCTCTACACTGAACAGGAGGGGATCCAAATTTTGGAAATCTATCGTGGATGTTTTACCTGAGGTAGCTGCAAATTGTCAATGGAAGATCAATGAAGGAAATATCTCGTTTTAGTTTTCTCATTGGATGCCGAATGGCCCTCTATGTAACCAAGTTACTAACATTAACCAACCTGGTTTGAGAATATGTGATGTGTGTTTGGAGTCTGGATGGGATATTGAGAGGTTACATGAACTAGTTGGAGAAGAGGTGGCGGGGAACATTATGCAAAAACTTCATGCTTGCAAGCTTGGTCAGGATATTTTGATATGGAAACCAAATAAATAGGGCATTTTCACTTCGAGAAGTGCTTGGGACATGCTTAGAATTAAAGCTCCAGATGTGCATTGGGCTCAGTGGGTTTGGAACAAAGCTATTC